AAAGAAACTACAGGGTTAAACAAAACCCGATGAAACTATAAGGACCAACTATTGTGTTTTCCCTTAAATATATATGTTTATTTTCAGAGAGGAATGGGCAATGCAGATCTTTTGCTGACTCCCATAGGTCTTAATTGTTTCTTTTGATTTTGACATGGTTTAGGATGGAGAAAAGGAATTCTCTCGAGACCTTCTTGATGAACGTGCCAAAAAGGCTGAAGCATGGCATCGTGACTCTGCAGCTCGTGCTAAGTATGCTAAACCTGCAGTGCCAATCACTTGTGCCACCTTTGCTCAAGATGTTTTAGAAGGAAGGGCAAATGTTTCCCAGGCTCATGATCACAAACACCAACCGCTAATATTTGGACCTGCCAGCCTTGTGAATGGAAGCCTAACAAGTGAGAGGGAAAGAATGGCAGCTAGGGTTTTCCAGCCTGGTTATAGGTATATATTTATGGTCTTTTAGATAGATTAAACGTGTAGCCTGGTGATTGAAAAAAAGCTTAGGAATAAGGATATAAAAGAATTTGTAAAACACAGAATGCCTCTAAATATCTGCATTTTCAGTTCCAGCTGCTTTTGTTGCTTTTGATGAAGCGAGAATTAGTAGCTGGGTTTGTTTGATATGGTTGAATTGAATATCTTGTCAGGATATACTAGAGAAATGGTTTAAATAATCAAGAGTTTTACTTGTTGAAGAATTTCACGAAACACCGTTATTTTAGATTAAGTATGGACCTCTATGTACTTTTGGTTACTCTCAACTCATTTTTTGAGATGCTAAGTTGAATATTGTGTGGAAGGATGCCAACCATGAGCATTGAGGAAGCTGGGCTTAGAGAAATGGAGATGATGAATAAATGGCAAGAGAGAAATGCCAGACTCATGGAAGAAGCCAATTCATCTTGGCATAATGATAGGAAGTCAAGGGCAGGAGAAGAAGAAGATGATGATGATGATGCTGCACAAGAGAAGGCAAGAGCCTGGGATGACTGGAAGGATGATAATCCTCGAGGTGCAGGCAACAAGAAACTCACCCCATGTGGTTAAGGGGGTAGGGTTTATCTTCACATTTCATGCATGGCTAATGAATAGTGGGGTTATGTATGATGAAGCTTTGATTGTATTGAGGCCAGATTTTGTAGTTGGCTAATCAGATGCTTAGTTTGTTAAGATGTTTATTTAAATACATGTATAATCATAGTCTTGACAGTGCAAAGGTCTCCAATTCTCCATCGTGTTTTGCAGGTGTTGTTTCCTTGTGATCTTTGTGCATGTACCTTGGTTTGGATTTGGCTGTCTGGGCTCTGCGTTCCAACAATTGTCACTTGCAATAGGTGACAATCCATGCAAAGCTTCCAGGACTTTCTGCCATGAATGTGCTGTGTACTATTACTAAATATTCCTTTGGTGACTAATGAATCTACCCTTCGCGGAAACAGTGTGTTTCTTTTGGGTCTAACTAAAAACGCACGGTCCATCCAAACCCAGTTGGGTTAGGTTAGATATCAATGTTTCAATCTTCATCAATGGAGTTGTAGCTTGTGATGACTTCATTTGCGATGGCTGAGGTAATTGAATAAAAAGTTTTATCAAATACCTTAGTGGTCATCCAAGGACTGTTATTGAGCTTTTGAACATCCTTGAGAGTCTTAATCTTTATTAGAGGAAAAAGTTTGCCCATGTAAGTGATTACTTTGATTCTTTTAAAGCTTTGACACTTATTCACCATGAGCATAACTCGAATCATTTTCTCAATGAAATTATAAAGAAGATTAGATGCCTAATCATATGAAGGATTGTATTATAACTTTCAATCATATGTTTAGAGAATTTAATAAATGTGTGGATTGATTTACTCATCAAGCTTTGATGTGAATGACAATCATGATATTTTTTGTTTTTGATGATCTACCCTTAGAAGTTGAATCTTCATGAGTCTAGACTTGATTTAATTTATTCTTCCTATACGGTTTTCTGTGGTCATGTACTATAAAAAAAACTAAACTAAAACGCGGTTACAGCACACCATTTTGGTCGATCATGAAAGGGCATGATGATTCTGGTTGTTTCATTTTATGTGGAATGATTATGTCATAGGCACTTAGAAAGAATCTTGTAACCTGTTAGCGCGAACTCGGGTTTAGCTATATTTTGGAAACGCGCTGCTGCAAGTTTTTAAGGGAGGAAATGTTCAATCAAATGGAGAGTTCACTTCCATTCCATCCGACGTTTAGCTACTTCAAGTTCCACCATGTTCTCTTTATCACAACTCGAGAAAAGCCTTGGATCCACATATAAAAGAGGTCTCATGAAGTGTGCTGGTTCATGCTGGAAGTAAAGAGAGGGAGAGGGGGGGGGAGAGAGAGAGAGAGAGAGAGAGAGAGAGAGAGCCATGCAACGCATGGGAATAGAGATTGGGGTGACTTGAGTCTGTTGGCTGATTGGTGATGCGAATGTTTAGCGTAAGAGAGGATCAAGGGAGGGTTCGTAGAATTGATGGGATTCATTCATATCATCCATTTTTAGCATTTTCTTCAGGTCACCAACTTACTGTCCAAAAAGCTTTTCTTTAAATGGCATAAACGTTGAAAGTCTTACAGAAATATAGCAATGATGGTATGATTGTCCCCAGATGCCGGTTTTGGAAAGTTCTGCACTTGAGCTATTGTTGAGTCCCAACTCACAAGGGCATTAGTATTGTTGTGTGTTGTGTCGGTAGTCGGAGTGGTTGGAATTGTGATAATTAGTAAAGGTTACATTCCTCCCTGGAAAATCAAGATACATGTTCATGTTCTCCTCAACTTAAATAATGCAAGTATTATTAGTTGTAGTTTCCATTTTTTTTAATTACATAATTCATTAATATTCTCTTTTTGTGAAGATTTTTCCATAATATTTAATTCTCTATCAATTATGTTAAACTTTAACAATTTGAATTTAATAACGAAAATGTGAAAAGTATTCAAATTTCTGGTATAAAGATCCCCTATTTATCTATTCATCTCTTCGCTGCAAAATAGAGTAGATTTCTTCCGGCATGACAATTAAGTTTTAAAGGATTGATTATAGTTAGCTCCCTGATAAATTCTTTTAAAAATAAATTATAAATGCCAATTTCAATAATTATAAATTGAAAAATCTAAATTGTAGATAATGCATTTAAAGTTTAAAATGTAAAACACATTTTGCAATTTAAAATTTCTTATTAGATCAATTTTTTTGGACACCTAATTATCATTTTCTCTAGATTGCCTTTGAAATGTAGTATTTCCTTCATCCCAAAATTATAAGATATCTAAAACAAGATTGCGCTTACTAATAAAACTTAATAACAATAATTTATAAATTTAAGTTTTTAAAACAAAACTATAAATATTTAAAAATATTTCTACACACTTAATCATTACTTACTTCGATCATAATATAAGTTACTGTTAACTAGCATATTTTTTTTTAAAGTTAGTTAACATCTTAATTTTCTAAAAGTTTTTATAGCTTTTCAATTGTGTCATTGAATATAATAAATATAACATTTCAATCATTCTAAATACTATCATTAATTATTCAATAAAATAAAGGTGTAATTAAAAAATATTTAACACCTACTCAATGCTTTATATCTTAAATCAAGCAAAATTTTTAAAAATATCTTATGTTATATAATTCAAAAGGAGTACATTACAATATTATTTTCCTTCTCTCTTTACTTAAAGAGTAATGTTAAAAAATTATAATTAATGAAACCTTAATTCTCTTAAATTATTTTATATTTTATGATGACAAAACATTTTTAAAATTATTTTATAATTTAAGACAAGAGAGAGTAATAAATAACATTAAAAAAGAGTGAAAAAAAAAATTAAAAGTTTGCAAGAAAGTCGGAGAGGAGGGTAGTGACTGAGCTGTGTTGGGTAAATGATTGGAGTGATGTCTGAGACACAGCGCAAGGGAAGGGGGCCTGCCTCACGATGTGCGCTTCAAGCTTATCTTCCAATGCTTATGGCTGTAATGAAATCTGATCTGAATAATTTAAATTTAAACTACTATTGTATACTTTTATTTTATATTTATTAAAATAAAAATTTATAAAATTATAAAATAATTTTAATATTTTTTATTTTAAATCTAGTTTAAATTTAATTTAAAATGTCTAATTTAATATTAATTTTTTTATAATTGTGATATATTGAATATTAAATGTACGTTGAGATATTGTGTAAAGTACATTTAAAATAAAAATTTTAATATTAAATTAAACTCTTTAAATTAAATTTAGAATAAATTTAAAATAAAAAATTTATTATAATTATTTTATAAATTTTTATTTAACCTGGATGTTCAGATTTTATTGGAGCATTAGCACTGAAGTTAGGTCCTGTGAAGTGTGAGCTGCCCCTCCCGCCTGCAACTTCCACTGTGTGGGCCCTACCTCACCGACCCCATTCCTCGTTCTTATCCCCCACCCCTTCAAATCTTCTCCTGCATTATCACTTCACACTCCATTTTCCATTGTTTGACTCACGCATGTGCCTTTAAACTTCTGCTAACATTATTTAATCCCATAATAGGCAATCAAATTACTGTGTTGTTCTCCATCTGTCCTCACATAGCAACATCTAAGGTCATCATCTAGCAGGAAATGCTTCAAATACAACATTTTGCAGGAAACAAAAAGCATAGCTGATACCACATCAACTGGGAAGCTTCCAATGAAGCTTTGCACTGTTGATTCTCTCCTAAGATAATGCATATTCATGGTACTGTGACGCTACATGGCAAGAAAGAATCGTCAACGATCTTATCTGCTATTAACTTCACTGACTATATTTTTGTGCAAAGAACAGAACTTGTTGACATCTATGTTACTTATCAGAATGTGTTCAAAAATAACACAACCATGAATGATAACTTTACGGCTTTGTCCATGTAAATACTTATTACAGGCAATAATTTGCTGTAATCATTCGTCAAATCAAATGCGAGTATGAGACCAGAGAAAACACTAAATCTTCATAAATTATTTCCATTGAGTTGGGAAATTTCCAGGGGAAATCAAAAAGGAGCAAACCCCAATTACACATACGGACATACATGCCCAGTTTTCCCATTTACACAGTGTGGCCCTGAAGTTCATGGTCATCGACAGGAACTTGGAAGGGAACAAGAGCGAAGAATCCCCAAACAAGGGACAAAAAAGAGGATCTTTCAATATTATTGACTTCATCTGTCCATGCACTTAAACCCTCTGCAAACCCATAACCATATCACAAACAAAACTGCACATACAAATACATCCAGCATCAGAACCACCCACACATGCTTTTTCCATATTTGCTTTGCTTTTTGTCGATCGTTGATCGCACTCTTATTAGGCATCGGAAATTGAAAATCTCTGGAAAAACCATCGATGCAATCACATAAATCCACTTTGTTCTCTGTTGCAGCATTCTTCACATCCATTTCATTGGCTGCCGTATTCACCCTCTTCTTCTTCTTCAGCCCTGGCATCGCAAGCAAGGGTGCCATCGCCGATCTCTTCCCCTGGACTGAATCCATACTAGGGTTTCGGCCGTCTAAATCCTCGTCCCTCTGTGTATCTACAGAGTCCGAATCCAAATCCAAATCGAAAGCCAATGTTTCGCGAAAGAAGGGGTCAAATTGTGGTTGGAAACAAAGCGGCGTAAAATCGTCGGAATCCAGGATCGACCTGACTTCTAATAACTCATCAAATACACTCTTGATGCGATTCAAGAACCAGAAACCCTCCGACTTCGCGAGCTCTTCATCGAATATCGCAAAATAGACAAAAGGGTCATGAATCACGAATGTGTAGGTTTTTTTCTTGACTGTGTGAGAGAACATGGAATGGTGGAGAGGAGTTTTGGCAAGGCATTCCGCAGCTAACTCTTCGATCTTCCGTTCCTTGGACCCATATTGAGCGAGGACTGTGTTTTCTCTGGCAATGCAAGCATAATAGATGAAGTTGGGATTCGAAATCATTTGAAAGATCCGGAACAGAAACAGAAATCTTCAGAAGCTAGAATGCAAGGAATTTTAGCGGAAGCTAGCAGAGGCAATTCGAAGCTTCCCACGAAATTGGAAGCATCCTGGAATACGAATCGATCACGAGGGAATCCTTAACCTCTGTCCCCTCATAATTGGTTCTTCTTCCCCAGAAGCTGGGTATCGTTATTTATAGCTGAACTTTTTAGGGTTTTGACAATGGAGAGAAATGGTAAGAGAGATGAAAAACTTGGTTCCGAGAGCCGTCTGAAGAAGAAATAGGAAAGAGAGAGGAGCACTGATTGGCTGCGTGCGCGCCAGACTTTCCCTTTCAGAACCTGAAATTAAGAAAATTTATTTCCTATAAAAAAAATTACAAACGTAAATTCATCAAAGTTGCAGTTTTTGGCAGTAAAGAAGAATGGGAGGTAACAACCGAGGCGACGGGGAGCAGTACTTGCTGGGAAGACATAATTGTTTGGTTAATTTGCTACCGAGGTAGTTATTTCAATGCTCTGTGCTTTCATGCCAGGCAATCGGAAAGTATTTTGTTGGGACCGGGGTTATTTTACCGTAAGTCACTTTTAATTGTTTAGCTCATTTCAATCAAAAAGTGTTTTGTTGAAGTCGGATAAAAATTAAAAAAGAATCGTTAATAAAATATTAATTTTTTTAAATTATTTTCTATTTTAAAATAATTTTTTTAACATTATTTTATAATTTAAGACAGGATGAGTAATTAAAAAGTATTGGACCTTAGAAATATTTTTAAAATCAAAATTTTAATTGAAATGATGAATAAATTAGTTTGTGATCTATAGCAATTGAACACAGGGAGAATTGTACCCATGGCTCTCTGGGGAGAATTGTACCCATGGTTCTCAAGGGAGAAAAATTACACTTAAGACTCAATATAATTTAAAATATCTTTACAGACTCGAGGACTTTGAATGAAAATATATTTTAGCAAGGAAAGACTTATTTGCCTCTCCCAAAACCAACCAATGTTCGATCTGATTTTATTTTCCTCCCTTTTCCTCTTCATTCTCTCGTTACCTTTCTTCTCTCCCTCCTCTTTCTCATTTTTCTTGTCATGATTATTGTTTGATAGTGATGTTTGATTGTGGCTAGTGGAGGGAAACGTCTTTGTTAGTGGCAGAGGCATGGATTGTAGGACTGTAGTTGCCACAAATTTATGAGGTCGTGCTGGCGCTAGCGGGGTGAGTCAGATTGGAGGAGGGTTCAACCATGAGAGTGAGCACAATTTGGCATTGATGGTAAGAGACCTCTTAGAGAATGGCAATAGTGGTGTTGAGTCTTGGTTTAGTAATGATAGTGATTTTGGCCTCTCTGAGATTTATGAGATTTCTAGAAGCTACAATGAGATCTTTGGAAATTGCCACAGAAGTTGTAAAAAATCAAAACTTATTATCATTGAGTTATGAATATTTAAAGTCAAAAATTTTAAACTTTAAATTGTAAATAACTAAACATATATTTATAAATATTCGGATGTTTAGTTGTAAATTTATAAATTTTGATAACATGTCAACTCTAAACCCTTGCTTATCAAGATATATACTTTTACTTGTGAATATTTGAACAAATATTTGTGAATATATAATAGTTACTTGTAAATTTATGAATTTTTCTTATTTGAACAAGAGTATAAAATGGTTATGATGTGACATTTTGTAGTAACTAGTGGAGCATCTTAATAATGTCAAAGCTCAAAGTAAAACTGAGCAAATGGGCTCAATCCAATGGGCCAACCCATTAGTCAGCCAATTTTGGCTGGTTGAGTTGGTAAAATGAGCCAATTTTGCAAAACGTTAAAAATTGCTGGCTAAATAGGTTAGTCCACTAACCCGTTTCTTCTTCTTGTTTTAAAAAATTGGCATGGTAAACCTCATGTGTATTAGACTCCCATCATCCTACTCCTTAACTTTTTTTTTTTAAGACAAAGACTAAGGTGCTTAGTGCTCTATGGTATTATTATTAATAATGCATCCAAACTCTCTCTTCATCTTCATCCACACATAGATACTCTCCTTCAAAATATTGTTCTTTCTATGGTTGATTAAATTTCATTAATTGATTAAATTCTATATTTATTTTTTTATTTATAAGTTTTTTAATTGTTAATTTGCCATAAAGTGTGGGTGTAACACCCTAAGTTTTCAAGTTGGGAATTATAAATATTTATAAGGGTATTTTGGTTAATTTAGATAAATTATTGATTAATGAGATTTATGGAAGATTAATATAGTTTTTAGATTATTGGACAGTCTTAGGAGAAGAGTAGGTTGATGTTTAAGCATGCTATGGCATGAAAGGGAATTCAAACTTTGGTGGGACTTTTTGTGCCATGCGCCACAACGGGCATGTCAATGCACCACAGCGCACATGTAAAATCAGCACTTATCAATTTGCAGAAAATAGATCGAAATCAAAGAAAGAAAGAGAGATATTGTCAGGAGGTGAAGAAAAATGATCGGTGTCTACTAGAACACAATCCTCTAACCACATTAGGAGCATTTGGAAAGTAAGTCCCACATTCCCTCTTCTTTCCTTTTATGTGAAAATTTCTAACTTTTAGGGTGATAGAGGCTTTAATCTCAATTTTCTTGGGTTTACACTGAACCTATTGGCTTATTTAAAATTTTAAAGAGTTAAATCAAGCCTTTAATTTTAGGTTTATGAGTTTTATGGTGACTTAAAATTTTTATTGAGGGTCTAGACAAACCCTAGGCATAGTCTAGAGGCTTTGAGACAATGTAGGGAATTGGCTAGTAATTTTGGTATGCTGGGATGTTTAATGGAATGGTTAGAGTATTTGAAAATGATTGATGTGGTTAGATAAGGAATTTGGGTGTTATAAGTACTTAAAATCTAGTGAATTCAGGGTTTATACGGAGTGATAATTAATAATTATCGCTTAATTATGTAGATTGAGTGTTATTGGAGATGTAATCATGTGTATAAAACGTATAGAGCTAACGTTGAGCCACAATAACCCTTTTGTGTGATAAAAGATTGAGGTAACAGAATAATTTACACTGATTAATTATATTGCTTAACTGTTTGTGAGTAGGTAAATAAATTTGTTTACATGTGTTTTGAAAGCTTGGTATGTTGTGAAAGATGATTTACTTGTGCATTAGAAATCGCCTTTGAAATGGTAAAGAATTTTGAATCCTTATGTAAAAAGTGTAGTAATTTTACATAAGTATGAAATGTGTGGCAAGAATGAGCATGATCATGTTAAGGGGTGGGAGTTCACCTGTAGAAAGAAGTAGTGAAAGTTCATATGACATGTATCTCCTTAATATCTAGTGAGGCACGGTATTAAATATTTTCTTCTCAGTATCCATACAGGATACGACGTTGGAGAGTGACGGTTCTTAGCATCAGTGATGCGATGTTAGAATAACAACACCTCAATTGGTATGCAATAGGAGAAGACCATAGTCTGAAAGTGGGATATGACATATTTAGCTGGGTGATTCTATCACCAAAAGTGAGCTCAGACCATTGTGAATGTACACTTAGTTTAAGAGCTTATGGTTTCAATCAGGGTGATATGGAGGCTAGGATGGTAAAATGACCATGCTGGTGGTAAATGATTTGTGTTTATGGAAAAGAGTATGTTGTGATACGCTAAAGTATATTTTGATGCTTAATAGCTTTACTCCTTATGGTTATGCATATTAATTAATAGTAGTGAATTATTCTATTATTGAGATGTTTATCTCACCTTATGGTTATATTTTACAGGTGAGGGCTCTGGTAAGGACAAAGGAAAGGAAAGGGAAACTGAAGAATGAAGAGCATTATTGTATAACTCTTTCCTTTTCTCTTTTTGGATTTGTAATGAATATTGCCATTATATAATATCAACTTAGGAACATGACATTGCTTTATTATCACTTGTATGAATTTAAGATATGTGTAAATATCTTGGCGTAAGGTTGATGCTATTGTAATTGAATGAGTGTGCTCAACTAAGATACAATTACAAGTAATATATTTGAAGTAATTTATGTGTCAAAATGACCAAATTGATATGTGTGTTAAGTTTTATCTATTCCTTTGTGTTGTTATTAATTGGGGGTTAGGTAGTCATTTTGAGCATGAATACTTAATTATGTGATATGATTGGCTTATTATGAATACTTAATACATAAATGTTTCCGGGGCTAATGGCATTTGGTATTGTGAGTTGGACACTTTTGAAATTGTTTTGAGTGAAAACAAATCACTTTGGATTTCAATGTCCATCTTTTTAACAGATGATTATTTGAGTGTGAGACTGGTACCATTAGCTAGAAGGCTTAAAGAGCTTTATGTGGACATTTGAACCGCTCAAATTGAACGTCAATTAGTGAAACAGCATGCTCCAAAAGTTTAAAGTACTATTATGACAGTAGGTGCACGCCGCAGTGCATGGTAATGGCACCGCAGCATAAATGCCCTTCGAGGAACTCGTCCCTCTGTGCCATCCACCATGATGGATGAACTAAAATGTTTGAAAAAAAGGGCCTTGTTTAGCTTGTTTTGAAATGTTATTTGATTTCCATACTTCTGTATTTGTATATATTAGATTTTCAACTATGGTTTGAGTTGAAATAAAATTTTTAAAAAAAATTTTGGGATCTCATTATTTTAACTAATTATTCTTTAAACTTTTGAGTTGTGATAACTTTTTCTTAAAATTTTATCTAATCTTAATTATCATAATGGCATGTAAGAGTGTTATCCTGATAATGTCAATATGGACATTACAGTGGACTAAATATACATACTTATGTTGTATAAATTTTAAATTGTCCTAAGGAAACAAGATTTTAAAGCATTTTTTATGGGCTAGCCAACGGGTTGGCCAACCCACCAAAAATGGGTTGGGTTAGGTTTTCAAGCCCATTTTATTTGGCTGGTTGGCCTAACTCAGTCTGGAAAAATACCAACCTAAACGAGAAGGCTCTCTAGTCATCTTGTAGACCATTTGCCCAATGCTAGCTCAAAGTGCCATTGTACTCACAGTAGAAAACCAAAGGAAAATAAAAATAATAAGATTAAGCATCAAAATATAATTAGTATTCCTCTAAGATTTTGTTTATGTTATATTAAGTTGGATTTTTTACAAATAAATGTATGGCATAGATTTTGCTCAAAAAAAATGTATGGCATAGATTGTGGTGTATGTTTAAAAAACACATGTTGTGTTGTAAATAAAATTATTTACAATGATCATTTGTACAAGTTACCCAGGTTTATGAATATTAAAAATCCATTTATAGCATGAAAATGTCTACTTATTAATAATAGAATGTTTATATATTTCACATGGTCCATGTGATTAAACATTTATAATGCCTTTGTAATATGAACAATAGAAAGTTCATATAAAATATGACAAGATCCATTTATTAATAATATAATATCTATTTATTTCATATGGTTCGTATAGTTAAGTGGGATAACTTATACAAATGATAATTGCAAATAATTTTATGTACATCACGTCAAATGTTCTCCAAACATATGCCACAATATATGGCATACATCTATTTATAAAAAAAAAAAAAACCAACTTAAGATAGCACAGACATGATCATAGAAGAATACTAATTACATTTTGGTACTTCATCCTATTATTTTTATTTTTCTTCGATTCCTATTGTGAGTGCAGGGGCACTTTGATCTTTGATATTATTGAGTTGTTCTATTACCGAATATAAAATGTCACACTTGAACCATTTTATACCAATGCAAAAATAAGTAAAATTCAAAAATTTATAAGTAAAAGTTACAATATTCACAAGTATAAGTTTAAATATTTACAAGTAAAAGTTTATATCTTGACAAACAAATGTTTAGAATTGATGTGTCATTAAAATTTACAAATTTACAACTAAATATTAATAAGTATAGGTTTAGCTATTTGCAATTTAAAATTCAAAATTTTCTATTTTAAATATTTACAACTCAATGATGGCAAGTTTTAATTTTTATAACTTTTGTAACAATTCTTAAAAATTCCAAAAATCTTAGAGAAGCTAAAATAGTTGTCACTACTATACTAAGACTCAGTGCCATTATTACCATTCTCCCAGAGGCCACTTATCATCAATGCCAAATCATGCTCGCTCTCATGGTTGAACTCTTCTCCAATTTGACTCATCCCGCCAATGCCAACATGACCCCATAAATTCACATAGCTATAACCTTACAATCCATCCCTCTACCACTAATGAAGTCGTTTCACTTCACCAACCACAATCAAAGACATCACCAAAAAAAAATCACGACAAGAAAATGAGATGGGGGAGGGTGAGAAGAAAGGTAATGAGAGAAAGGAGAGAAGAAAGATGAAAAGAGAGTACAAAGAGAGAGGAAAAGGAAAGGAGGAGAAAAAAAGCAGACTGAACATTGGTTTGTTTTGGGAGGGGTAAATAGGTTTTTTTTTGTTAAACATATTTTCATTCAAGGCCTTTGGGCTTTGAGAGACATTTCATATTGTATTGGCCCTAAGTGAAATTTTTTCTTCCTTGAAAGCCTTAGGTGCGATTCTCTCTTAAATATATTCATTGAGAATCTTATACAAATATATCTATAAAAAAAAACTAATACTGATAAATGTTTGTAAGCTATGAAATGAAAAAAAAAATCATTCATTAATAAAAAAAAAATCATTCATGGTTAAAATTTTAAAATATTTAGTACTAAATTTTTGAAAGCTTAAAATATATAATAAATAATAAAATAAAGAAAAATTCTTATCTCTAAAACTTAAAAATAAGCAAAGTTTTAGCTAGATTAAAAAATAACACAGTATCAACGAAATTATAACATTTAAAAATACAATTTCTTTCATTAAAAAATTAAGTTGCACATGGCCATGCGTAACCAAAAAACAATCCACGTTATTCAACACATGAAGTCTAATCATGCACTCAGTAGTCGGTAATTTGCATCAACAGCCATTGACATCGAGGTTTATTAAGATAACCAGACTTTATGCTCTGCGATGCAAAGGGATTTTAATTCTCATTTTTTATTCAAAGCGAATAAAAAAGAAAAAGAATGTTTTCACGAGTTTAATTTTTTAAAAATGGAAAAATATGTTATAATTTTTTATTTGAGAGATGTACAAGAAAAAAAACTAAAAAATCAATTAAAAACTTTCTAGCCACAATTCTCTATTTTTCTAAAATTAATGTCACTAAAATTTAAAATCCCAACTCTGACCATTTTTTTATCCAAACAAATCATAAAAATTAATACTCCATTCAAATATAAAGCATTTTTAATCAAATCTCACTTTCAATAAAGTAGTTATTTGTCTTCAAACTAATCTTATATTTTCATATTTACCTATTAAAAAATAGGATGTTTTATTCTGAAATAAATATAAAGTAATTTATTCAACAAGGATATTTTAAAAAAAGATAATAATTACATTTTGAAAGACTAAAAATACTTTATATTTTTGAATATCCAATCTTCAAAAAAAGCCTTATGTTTTTTAATGGAGGGAGTAGAAATTAAATTATGATTTTACAAAAGTAATAGTTGATAGAAAGTATGAAATAAAATCGTATATGTGGTTACATATAAATAAATATAATGATGAAAAATAACTATATACTTTTATTGCCATGGCATATTTGTGATTAGAAAATAGAAATAAACAATAACTTGTTTTATTATAAAATTTGTCATCCTGTGTATAATCAAATATAGACAATAATTTATTTTAATTTATGAACTGTTATATCCATGTAAATTAAAATTCTAAAACATATATCTTGTTTTAGAATTTTTTTTTCCTTTTAAATTGTATGAGAATCTTATTTTGTCTAATATTGGCTAGCCATGCATAATAAGTATATAGATAGCAATAGGAGGATAAAAATTAATCCACATTAGGATAGGTGCTCACATTTAATACTCGATCGTGTCTCAAATAGAATTGCATCGAATAGGAGGATACTTATGAGTAGTAAAAAATAAAAAATAATTTATTTTATTTTTACACAAATTATTTAAAAATATTATATCACGTGCAATATTTTTTATATGTGATCCCCACATGAATTAAAAGTTAAACAACATATTCTAGTTAAAAAGTTATTACTTGTAAATATAAATAATGACTTATTTTATTTAAGGATTTTTTATTTTTGTGCATATGAAAAATGTAAATAATAACTTTTATATATAGTTATTTAACTAATTCAAATTTGAGTATTATTCAACACAATTTAAAATAGCTCTGTCAAAAGTAATTTTTTTCATTCACGCAATTTTGTATTATAGAATTGTTTACATTTTCAACAATTTATTTTATTTTGTGACTTGTCATTTTGTGTATATTAAAAGCACAAGTGACATATTTTATAAATAAAATTTATGATCCTTGCACTTTGTTTTTAAAATTTAAAAATAAACAATTATTCTAACATACATAAACAACAAAATTTGTCCAAATACTATCATTCAACACAGACAATAGCTCATTCTATTTTGTAATTTGGTACCTATTGCATATTTAGTTTCTTAAGTTTGCCTCAATAACAATTTAATCTTTTAAATTTATTGTTTGGAGAAAAAGTAACATACCATTAAAATTTGGTAATATAGATTAAAAAATATTAAATTGACAGTCACTTAAATTAATGATAAAATCAAATTAACTTGAAGTCAAATTTGTTTTCATTTAGTCGCATCTAATGTATCAGGTCATCAAAATAATTTATATGTTAGTTAAGGATCAATTTTTGTTTCCAAACGTCAAACATTAAAGTGACAATTTAACAAAATATAAGAAGTTAAATTGAAAAAAAATTAAACTTCAAAAATTAAATCAATAATTAATAAAATTTGAGGGACCTTTAAAATCAAACAATATGCTTTATTCTAAAATTTGTTACCCCATGGATATTAAATATATGAACACCAACTTATTTTAGTTCAAATTTATTTTACTAGGTAACAAATTTAAAATATATCTTATATGTAAAAATAAGAAATTTATTTTATAATATTTTTTATTTTATAATTTATTACCTTATGCATGTAGACCTAAATTTCAGCAGATGTAGACTTGAATTTTTATAATTTAAAAAAATTAAATTTAAAATTTTATTATAAGTTCTTCATTTATATTTTTATTATACGTACAACCACATTTATAATAAAAAAGTAAATATATTAAAACATAATTTCTAAACCATGATTGACTACAGTTACCTGTAACACTCAATGTTAGCAACTTTAATCTTTTAAATAAAATTTGATTTTGTTTGTAAAAAATAGTTGGATCATTATAGAATTATAATGATTTATTTTAAATTTGGATTCCCTAAATATCTTAAATCTACTCATTTAATGAGCATATCAATTATATACATTGAATTATATTAATGCTTAAAAATTATTCATATTCATTTCTTTATAAAATTTTAAAATAACCCTTACGATTGAAATAATTTTCACATTCATTATCCCCTTTAAAAATTTAAAATTTGATGGTATTTTTAGTATTGTATGACAAGATATCTTACAACAGTCCCATTGAATTAGAGAAAATAAAATGTTAATCGTAAGTACATCTTAATTCAAACTTTTCAATTCTAGACATAATTATTAGAATTAATCAATTTTTAAATTGTATGAATTGAGTAAAATTTGCTTATACATAAAAGCAAACAGGAATAAATTGATTGATTTAAATAACAAAATATTCTAATTTATAATTTATTGTTTAAATTTGTACATTATATATAATTAATTATTTTATACATATACAAAATACAATCAATAAATGATAAGGCTCTCATATTTACAAAAAAATTATTAAAGGTCATGCATATTATTTTTATTATGGATCTCATATCTACAAACATTTTTCGCTATAGGTCTAACACCTATTTTTTTTTTAAATTTTTGTTAGGGGTTTCATATAAACTCTTAATACGCAAGTATGAAATTTTAAAAACAAAAAAAGGAAAATTCAGGGTACTGTTCATCCAACTCTAGATAAACAGTACCATCACGATGAACTTCACAAATATATAAGATTAAATACATCTTTACGCTTATTACTCAGAATTCAAAATAAACTATTATTTATAACCTATAACTAATAAAACTTCTTGCAAATTTTATTGCATACTGACACCGATATTATTTTGCTTTGGTGGTAGGATCATGGACGATGACTCCATTGAATGTGACTTCGTCAATTAACGCCCAAAAAAAAAAAAAAATTCATTCACTTGTTTTTAGTCGTTGGAAGGGCAAAGGGGTTCCTTAACCCCTACTGTGGTTTGAGGCGAGAACGCCGAGTTGTACAAATGATTGCTCATAATTCTGAACCCGTCCACAATATCCTCCCGACTCATGGAAACTGTTTTTAGAAATCTTCGAAGTATAAAATCGATAACAGTCATAGATAATAAATATGATTCTTCCTTTCCCTTTGCTTTGTAAACAATAGGAAACCGCATCAAACAGTTGCAAATAAAAAAATAAATACGACCAAAAGTAAGTGTCTAGTGAAAAACCAAAAATGAGGTCCAATATAGGTAAGAATATGTACAACCCTCAAAATAGCTTCCTACGAACTTGAAAGTCAAGTGGCGTGGATCTGTTCTTCCATTCTATCCACTGATTGGTCTTCATCAGGAAACATATGTTGGATCCATGAATGTCCATTCGAAGACTTGTTCATACTGAGTAGCAGAATTTTCCCACGTGGAGTCCCTCGCCATTCCTCTTCTCATCAAACCCTTCCAAGAAGATTTGTGTTCTCTATATGTTAGAATGGCATATCTCAGTGCCTGTCAAAATTTAAAAACAACACTTGTGAACACTCAATGTTAGAATGGCATATCTCAGTGCCTGTCAAAATTTAAAAACAACACTTGTGAACACTCAACGCTCCAAACCCATAATTTTTGATGATAAAACTATGGCGTAGACTGGAAAAAATTTCCATTGCATTTGACACGATAAGTGTGCTGAGAATTGAATGATGGAAAGGTCAACAAGGAATCTGTTTCCATAAAATGAATGACATGTACAAAGACAATAAGCTTACCACTAACATGCTTTCTTTAGTTAGAGGAGAAAACGTCCACCTGTCCGTACAGTTCATAACAATGTCATAACCCACATTATGTAAAATGCAGAACCATCGTAGCATTACCAATGGCAATGTCAAAAGACTAAAACACGGCAAGAATCATCAATAGATTCATAAATGCTAAACATCAGAAATTGGCATATTGAATTCAAAGTTCACAATAGAGAATTAAGTTTTCATAAATGATGATGGTCACTGCAAGATGACATCACCGCCTAGCAAGAAGTAATCCAAATTTTTTTTCATATTTTTAAGCATGTTCCAGGAAGTTCAGGCAGCATATTAGCTCCTATATCTCACTTATTTTTGTCCTTTTGTATCAATTACTACATGCCACTAAGAAGTTCTAGCTCACGTCCGATACGAACATAAATTGAACTTACAAAAATTCAAGCCAGGGGGCTTAAGATGCTTTAGATGCTGGTTTACAATAGATGAAAAAGTTACAGCCTTGGTTCACAGTGACAAATTTAAACATGATGAGCCAAAATTGTTATAAAAGTTCTAAAATCCTTCAGACATTAACCCCATTGTTATGCTCATTTACCACCCACAGCCCGGAGGTCAATGAGTTATCTAATTTACTAAAATATGTTAAAATGTGTAGTTAAATTATGTAAATTTATTTATTCCTTTAGTAGATAGATATTAGTTGGAGGTTAGAGGTTAAGATAGCATTTTTTTACTCTATGTTGATATACTCTTATAAATATCACAACAAGCTCTTGTAAATGATCTAAGAAAAATAATTAAAATTATTTTTTCACCGAATTTGTCATCGTATCACAGCTATCTCAGGTTTAGAGTATTTTTGTTTTTTTTAAAGGTTTGGGTTCAGTTCTGCATTTTTACCTCAGGTTTTTGAAGGCCATAATTGGCATGGGGTTCAAACAGAGTCAAGACAATCACACTTTGTTCATCAAACATTTCTTCAAAGGAAGTAACAATTTTACTTGTTTATGTTGATGATATCATGGTAACAGGGAGTGATTTGGAAGGGATTCAGTCTTTGCGAAGTGAACTGATGAAAGAATTCCAAATGAAAGATTTAGAGAGGTTGAAATACTTCTTGGGCATTGAAGTGGCTCATTCTAAGCATGGTATCTTCATATCTCAACATAAATTTATTCTTGATCACCTCACTAAAACAGGAAAATTGGGGTGCAAGTCTATGGACACTCCAATTGAACAGAATCACAAACTTTGTAAGGAAGGAAAATGTCCAAGCAAGCCGAAGAAAAATCATAAGTCTAACAAACCTCCTCCTCCAGAGCCTTCTATCAATAAGGAACCCTATCTAAAACTTGTTGGGAAATTGATTTATCTAGCTTACACTAGACTGGACATTGCCTATGTCATGATCGTAGTAAGCCAATTTATGCATGATCCTAAAGAGTCTCATCTGCAGGCGGTTTATCGAATACTTGAGTATTTAAAAGGCACTTGGGGAAAAGGCATTATGTTCAAGAGAGGGAAAAGATTGACCATTGAAGCATACATTGATGCAAATCATGGAGGAGACATGGGTAATAGAAGGTCCACATCAGGTTATTGCACGTTTCTCGACTCAAATCTCATTACTTAGAGGAGCAAGAAGCATGTTGTAGTATCTAGATCTAGTGCTCAAGCCGAGTTTAGAATTATGGCACTTGGAATTTGTTAGTTGTTGTGGGTAAAGATAATTTTACTAGATTTAAGAATCAAATGGGAAGGTCCAATGAGGCTTTATTGTGACAAGTCAGCTATCAACATTGTTCATAATCCTGTACAGCATGATAGGACCAAGTATGTTGAAATTGATCCACACTTTATCAAAGAACAGTTGGAAAGTGGTCTAATTTGTACCCCCTATAAACCCTTTTATGATCAATTGGCAGATATACTTGCAAAAGGACTATCATGTGAACATTTTCATAAGTTAGCATCCAAACTGGGAATGGATGACATCCACTCTCCAACTTGAGGAGGAGTGTTAAAATATGTAGTTAAATAGTGTAAATTTATTTATTCCTTGAGTAGATAGATATTAGTTTGTGGTTAAAGGTTAAGATAGCATTTATTACTCTATGTTGATATACTCATACAAATATCACAGCAAGCTCTCCTGAATGATCTGAGAAAAATAATTAAAAGTATTTTTTCACCAAATTTGTCAAAATATAACAATCAAATATTTTGGAGAATATTTGGTCGAAGAAAAACATCCAAGCTCATGGAACACATACCCTGTACCATCACCGTTGCCACCTTCAGCATATGGATTAAAATTTTTTACAGTATCCTGTAAAACAGCAAAGAGAATGGAATGAAGGCATATAATAAACATGGATTTGCTGACATCATCTTCACTTACTCTTAGTCCTCCAGTTTCATGAACCACTGGTATTGTTCCATATCTCATTGCATACAACTGATTTAGCCCACAGGGTTCAAATGCGGATGGCATCAGTAGTATATCACAGCTGTTCATACCATTACACAGTAGTAAGGATCATAATTGAGGGAGAAACAAGGGAAAAAAAAGAAAAAACCTGCAACATTTCAAATAAAAAGTGGAAAATTTTGGATCACCCTGCAGTTATTCTATGAGAAACGGGAACATTAAATCCAACCCAACCCCGTAATTTGTCCTCATAAGCTGACTCTGTTGCTCTCATCCAGTCTTCATAACTAGGGTCTCCTGAACCAAGCATAACCTGAAAATGCCATCAGTGATGACTCTTATTAAAAAAAATATAAATATATATTGTCAACCTAATAGAGGCCAAAAGACAAAATCAGAACTTATTCCTCAGAGATTTTACACGTATTTGTTAAAATTATAGTGGCCTTTATTACATTATACACACAAAAACATTATGCTCTTGGATTTGAATAGCTAGCACCACATCAGATTAAGTTGATATAACAAACTAAAAAATAACTTACAAATTGAACATCATCTTCCATGAGCTCTGGAGTTGCCAACCGAATCTGGTCAATACCTTTCTGGTAGTCCAGTCTTCCAATGAATCCAATCTACAAGGCTCAGCTGCAATTAATAACACAGAGTGAACAAGAATTTTTACCAAGGTACCAAATCTTACCAATGGACAATCTGGCCGAATGGGAAGACCCAATTCCTTCTGCAAAGAAATTTTGCATTGGACCTGTACATGACAGATGATATGAGGTAAGATAAATCTAGTTCTTAAATGAGAGGGATGACAAAGAGAGACTAAATCAACCTTCCCAGAAAAGTCATCAGCAGAATAGTGGCAAGCAATATATTCATCCGATGATGGGTCCCATTCAGCAACATCAATTCCATTGGTGATCCCTGGTCATGATTAATCTGTTACAGGTTCATTCTTTGAAGTATGTCATTCAGCAACAATTAAGAAGGCGATTTCTTTTTGTGCTTCTACATATTTGCATTCACACAAGAACTTGCAGAAGTCAGGACATAAATATGATGGAGAGAGAAGATAATCACAGGAGATGCATCTGTAGGTCTGCACAAAGACTGGGCCGACCCCTAACCTGAATCCTGGCCTGGATATAAGTCAAATTCCACTTTTGAAACCAAGGCCCAGTATACCCGACTTGGAAATAATCATTGACAAAAAATAACATCTTCTCTATTAATTTTATGAAAGTAAAAAAGGCCTGTATTCTGTGAATAACTAGACAAACTTCAAACTTCTCTTTATAACAGACAAACCAATATATTTGTGGCACTGCGTTCACAAGTCACAATTACCTAACGAAGGTACAGAATATTTCAATATAATATTGATGCACTTTAAAGCTTATGAGCAGGATAGGAGAAATTTTACCAGGTATACAAGCTTCGAGAAATAGATACCACTAATTTCCAAATTCAACATCAAGACTTGCAAATGATTTTTTTGAACTAAACGGCTTGAAGGAAAAAATTATAACAAATAACTAAGTCATGTTTGCTTTCAAATACTTTCCTTCCTCCACGTAAACGTATAGCATGCATTTCCTTTATGAGAGGACTATTAAAATATTCTTGGAGTAGCTATACAAGTGTTTAGTCCCTAAGATTGTAATGATCTCAAGTAATAAGGCTCACTAATTCTTGGCCAGACAAAAGGCTCACTAATTCTGTTAGAAACACTTGGATTGATTGTGTATCTTCCCTCAAAAAGGTACAAATAATGTTGTCAAAGTCCAATATCAAATTTGATCTTAGGCATAGCAAATTTGATCGAGAATTTATTCTTGCGAAGAGGTCACTAAGGCTACGGTTGCTGATGAATGGAAGTTCTTTCAGAAGCATAAACTATATATTTATCAATTTGATATCTTTTAAACAATAAATAACATTTCGTATTATATGCTTAAAAATGCATGCTACACGAGAAAAAGTAAAATGGGTACCATTGAGAACACTTCTTCGACTGCTTAACAGGTCATGTAGACCATATCCTCCTTCACTTGTTGTTATCTCCCAAGAATAGCCCTTCAAAAGGGAGGCACATTTTACACAGCATATCATTACATGATAAAATACAAGACGCATGTCAGGCATGAATATCCATGTTTTCATAGTCTATTGAAACAAATCAATTTGTTATTGTGAATAATCATTTGGCATCTAGGAAAGAAATCAATTTCACCATGAGTATCAAGATTCAAACTTAAAGATACCAAGCAACTGGAAGCAAAATATATGACATGCAGCATTATGACCTTGCTAACTGTTAGTATCCTGTCAGCTGTCACAATTGCACCTTTTAGAAAATTGACAGCTTCACCCGTGTCAAGAGCATGAGTCCTTGCCCAAGTAGGAAACACCCATTCCAGTGCTCCCCGCCATTCCAGAGGCAGTCCCAAGTTACCATATGTGATTGCAGGTTCCACTCCCTGATATATGATAAACCTTCATCAGCTTGTTTCATGATTTAGAAAAATAAAACGCTGCCCATCCAAGAATGAATTGTACATGGGTAGGCTATCAGCCAGCAAATCACATTTTTTAGAACGACAACTATACACTTTATTAGGAATAGTATGTATACCAATTTCAGGACACAATCAAGCTTGTTTGATATACATGCTATAATAGTTATCACCTGAACTTTAAATACTCAGAAATTCATAAATTTTTGGGTGACTAATGCAACCTTGTTGTTCACGATCACATCCAAGTTCATGATTTGAATGTGGTTTGATGGGATTTAAAGGTTTGGTTTTTCCCAATGCACGCACCACTAATATAGCCTTTCAGCATCTGTCAGATTTCTACTCTCTAGAATGTAACTTGACCACCATCAATAAGGGGTGGATGAACAAGGCACAAGGCGACAAGCATCAGATACAAATCAAAGGTCAATTTTGTTGCAGAAATCCTTCGCCCAAGTTTCTATTGTTGAAGCTCAGAAGTTCAACAAAAGAAATTAGAGATAACAAAACATACTATCATGTCAAAAAGAAAAAAATGAATTGAATTTAAATTAAGTTACCTGATGGGCAATGTTATGGATCACCAATATACTGCGAGAATCTTTGTATACTCCATGTGGGCGATATTTTGCTGCCAAAAGTCTGCACACAATTTAAGCACCGGTACTCATCCTCAACAATGTTACCATAGATAATCACAAATAGTTCTATATGGAACTCAAATTATGAAATAATCACAAATAGTTCTATATGGAACTCAAATTATGAAAACACCAATGCCTTAATTGAAGCACATCAATGAAGAAGAAAAATCCATAACAAACAGAAAACTTAAGGACTTCAAGAAGTAATTGGCAAAAGAAAGCTTTCAAATGATACATCTTTTGGTCCAGGATTCTGTTAACCTCAGTTTAAAAATGGCAAGCTAAGCACAAAGCGAGAAATTATCTATGCCTATATTTTCTAATGTAAGTTGCGTCAGCTATGATGATGGATGCTTGCACAATCATAATGAGAACTTTATTTGTTTGACAGAAATGATTTGCACAGAAAAACCAAAATTTACATACTCACAGAGACTGTAATTTTTCATTGGAGGAAAAAGGAGATAGTGCTAAATTTGAAGAAGTCAAAATAAAAGATAATAATTGACAAAGGTAGCATGCATACACAGGGACTAGACTGGCATGCCAGTCATTAACAAGGAAAAGGCATTTCTCTCCATAAGTGAATCCTCCCAATGGAAGCACTAGCGGGGCTTCACATGCTGCATGGCAAAGTAAAGTGAACCGAAACTGTGAAACCAAATGCGAGAGACGTCCATCATTATTCATTATACACGGATAAAAGTACAAATCTAATTTCAAAACTAGGCAACAAGAATATACCTGGTTATCACCAAAAGCCCCATAACTATCCCCATATGGATTTCCAGGCCTATGGTATGAGGGGTGATCCACAAATACCTAAACATAAAATGAAAGTATAAATCATTATCACAGACAAAATGTAGATTCTACAACGTGAGGAACTAGGTAGTTTTGATTTTAAATAACAACTGAAATCAATTTAGAAGCTCTTACCCAATCAACACCTTTTCTATACTCATGAAAAAAGCCAACTTCATGAACCCCTCCGAAGCAATTTATCTTGGAATGGTGATCCAGATCAACGGTACCAGAATAAATAGAATCCTCAGAAGTACCACGTAGGTATCTGGGTGAAACAACCATTACCCGATGTCCACGAGCTGCTAGTGCTATAGGCAAAGAACCACAAACATCTGCTAGTCCCCCAGTTTTTGAATATGGTTTAGCTTCGGAAGTAACAAAAACAATATTATATGAAACTTTAGTTTGAGCTTTCTCTTCTCCTTCTGTATCTTCAGATTCTTCAACTTGCATGCTTTCAGATTGTTCTACTCTATCAGCAGTTTCATCTTCTACAATTGTGCCTGAACATGATTTTTCAGGAGTCATATTACCGAATTCACATCCTAGTATGTAATTATTATATCCTCTTAAACTTCGTGGATGGAGGATTATTTGTGTCCATTATAACCATAGCTTTGAAATGTACAAAAGATTTTACTATATACTTTTTGGTTTCACAGAACTCCTTTTTTTTTTTCAATAAGATGTTGGTACATAGGATGTAGTGCGTTTCTAGGGGTGCTACTGCCAATTTACTTAATCAAATATACGTTTCACATCTCATGTATTCTGTATCGAACATAGCAAGAAAAGAAAACAATATTATAGATACAGGTTTTGCACCAAGGAAAAGGCTACTTGAAACAACGAGAACTCAAGTCACATGCATTTGGAAATGGACAATCCAAAAGCAACTAACCTTAATATAATTTTACACGAAAGATGAATGATCAGAGTTTCAGAAATTGCTAAGAAATCCAGATGCCAAATTAATTGCCCCTGTCATGCTTTATCTAATCAGCTTCGCTATTGTTAAATCCAATCCCTAGGTTGGTCTTAGTAATCAGTCATTGACTCTAAAATACCAATTACAGACATTATCCACTAGAGAAGACATACTCTAAATCATTGATAAATTTAGAATTGAAGAGTGTAATGATAGTGAAGTGAATAAATTAAGCCTAAAAGAGAATACAAAATTCAAAGTATCTTCAGAGGCAACTATATGTGTTTTTCTTTTTTAAATTAAAAAAAAATTAGACATACAAAACTAAACAAATGAACGGGAATGGCAAAAGGTCGATTATAAACTACAAGTCTAAAAACAAAAATGAAAAGATCGTACCAGAATGAGGAATCAAATGAAAGCCAACTAGTAAGCCAGAAGCATCCGTCTCTTTGGCTAATACCAGTGCCCTTTCTCTCTTCTTAAATTCTCGACCTTCGTCTTCAAAAGCAGAAGGCCCGTCTTGTGAACCACTCTTTCCACCAGAAAGGGAGCTTCTGAGACGCAGGGAGCCATTTTTACATCTTCTTTTCAGCAGAGAATCGAAGCCGAGCTGGCTTACGACTCCAGAATTGCCTTTGTTTAGAGCGGAATTAGCACTCAGAATTACCCGAGATAGCTCAAGAGACTCCATGCGGCGGAGAGGATAACAGAATCCGAAAGATAGACGAGTCCTATAGCAGACGAAAGGGATCGTGAATAGCGGTTGAAAAAGCAAAGAAAATAAAAGTGCAGTGTGCGTGACTTGAGGAAGCAGAGCACGTACGTTGGACTGTGATTTTGAGAGAGAAGAGGGTGCGTCAGATCTGGAAAAAGCGCGAAAATATAGAAGCATCCCGAGTTCGGTTACCGAGGAATTCTAGGCTACTCTTATTCTGCCACATCATTTATGAATGTCCAATGAACTCGTGACACCTTGCAACTTTTAGCCCCCGTATCAGCTTACGTGTCATTTGATACTTTATTAATTTTGCTATTTAAACCTCATTTTTTTTGCTCTTTTCTCCGTCATCTACTGCACACGCAGCACGGGCATCGCCTTTTTTGTTTTTTTCCCCTCACCTGCCTTTTACTAACTCATCGATGTTTTCTTCCTTTAAAAGTTGTTTTTCTTCCTAAATGACATTTCGATTTTATTTTCTTTGATTTCAAAATTTTATATTTTACTTAATTTAAAATTTTATAAATTAATTTTCAATATTCAATTTTTATTCTATTTTTTAATTAAATCACTTTTAATGTACTGAACATCTTAGCCATGAAGTTAATTTTTTAACAATGAGATTTTTTTTTAATAATACTAATACTAAAAAGCATTGAAAGAATAGTTGGATAACACAGGTAACTTGCTTGGAAAGGGCCGTGGCGCAAGATTAGGCCGTGGCGGAAGCTTCGCTCAATGGTAGCAGATTCAGAGAATAAAACTGCTGACACCTGACTCGAGAAGCCTTGATCGCAACACTGAAGAGTGAAGACGGGAATTTGAAGAATTCAAGGGTGCATGTGTCTAATGAACGTAAACATGCTTAGAAATGCAGCCTTGTATTAAAAATTTGATTTTAATGTTATAATAGCATAGGATTAAAAATATATCAAATTGAAAGTCAGAAATGAAATAAAATTATGCTTATAAAATAAATAAAAATATAGAATACTAAAAACCAAGGGAATATTTGTACAATTAGGATGAAACAAATAGAGGTTAACGGATCTTATTAAAAAAAAAATATTATCCTACAATATATTGAATTATTGAAAAAGAAATGGAAAACAAACGAATAAACCCAAGACATTTAAACTAAATACCTTTTCAAATGTTTGATTTATCATTGGTTCATAACATCAAAGAACATTATTAAATTTCCATAAATATAATGCATTGAGCACCCACCCTGTCCTGATATTTGACGATTCTTATTATAGATCATGCCCAAGCATGTGCTCCCAGAGGCAGTGTCCAATCCTCCGTACCAGCATAGTCTGTGCTTCCTCCCGCGATCCGTTTAGACTGTAGCCTGGCCCCACTAATTTTTGGGCCTGGGCTCTTCATAAATAGATTACTTGCCGTTCCTCCACCTGAGATAGGGGAGTCACACCCCGACTCAATAACGGAGCTCTTCTTAGTTGAAGAATTCCACTGTGGCACAGAAGAGCCACGCGGCTTGACCGGGCCTTGACCCCTTACCTTGGCCTTTGCAGACTGGGTCGGAGCCATATAGCTCGGTATACTTGGGTTGGCCAGGGGCTGCAGATCATGGGGCCGCCTATTGGGAATTGGACTTGAATCAAGAAGAAGGCCTTGGCCCATGATGGTGTTGCTTGAGTTCGGAGGTGCAACAATGTCCATTTCCACCGTCTTCTCAGACATGTCATCTGCAGTGGTGGTGGTTGTAACAGCTTGGGTCATGCGATAAGAGGTTTCAGGCGGCCCCAAGGGCATCGCTTGATGTTTTTGAGAGGACATCCAACGTTCTAACCAGTTCCAACCCTGCTTGGCTTGTTCAAGCTCACTGGTATATGTTCCCATTTCTTCATCACCAGGATTCAGGCCCGCATGTGGCCACTGTTTCCATTGCTGCAGATAAAACAAAAGTGGTCAAAATCACGTTTACAAGTGGTTTCGTACCTAATTATACGATCACTTTTGGTATTCAAGTTAGACCAACTACATAAATACTTTAAATTTTAAGTGGACACTGCATATTATATTTCTACAATCTAATGACAAGATATGTGATTGGTTTGCCAGAGAAGAATGCTAAGAAGTTTCAAAAATTGGATTTCCTTGTGTAATAAAAGGAAAAAATGCAGAATAATTTTACAAAATTGTTGCGTGTACGTATTTGCTCCTGGTCCTGACAAATTAGTGAATGCACATGTTATCTTTGAAAATTGCTAAGTTTAGCGCACTAAAGTCTATTATAGCATTTTTGAATCACTTGAAATAAAATAATTATGTGTCAAAATAAGTTTGTTGTTGACATGAGTAATATCACAAATACAGCAACAATGTATCCACAATCAAAGGGCTAGTTGACTTCATAAATGTTCTCTCCAACCAATCTTTTGATCGTTGTCAAGTGCAAATCGTGTCCTTAATTATCGCCATTAGTTTCTTATTTAATGTAAAATATTTTCATATCAATTCCTGATATAGTCTCTGCTGTGCGTGTGGATATAAACATTCAGTCTTCACTTCAGTAAAGTCAAGAAAAGCGTTTTTATCAATTGCCATTGCCAAGTTCATGGGCAATAAATATTAATCCAAGCCCTAAATAATTTTTGAGGATTAAAACTATTCAGACTGACAATCTGGAGACCAAAACCAACGAACCAAGCACAAAAAAGAAAAGTAACGAACCTGATAGTTAAAAGCGTGAGCAAGAGCCCTCTCCCTCTTCATTGCATCTTCATGTTTCCACAAGTCACTTTCATTGATTCTCTGGAAACTGTGACGCCTAGCGTTCCAACCATCATTGTATAAGGGGCTCATGGGCACTAAATCATGTTCCATCACGTTCTTGTAAATCTTGTCATGGGTCAGTTGGAGTCTGCGAGCTCTGACTCTGGCCTGCACTCTCACCAACGCTTGCATACAACGCATTGTCATTTGTGCTTGCTTCCTTACATTGTGACCTCTCACAAGCGCTTGCAGTCTCACCAATCCCTTCAAAGCACGCCGTGCACGTCGAGCCTGCACAATTTAACACCCACAAACATATAATGACAATAATTAATTTATTTTGTATAGTGAAAGAAGTCCAAATTGATTGCAAAATGATTCAATCAATTCAATATATAATATCAATATCATTTAGGAAGATTGCCAGATTTAGAATACATTTCGTTAACTTTATTAATTGACACTGAATTTGCATTAATGGGAAATAGGCAACTAAGGCTGGGAAACTCCTCTACTCTGTTTTCTGCAAGAGTGTTAAAACTTGAAAGCAACACTTCAAACATCTTATTGCAGGTAAAGTGCCAATGTATCATTACATGTAACGATTAAATGCAGAAATAAGCCACGATAATTACATCATTACTCATACCAAATAAGCCACGATATGTGATATGATCTTGAACAGTTAATAAAGTTTGCCCATTAAAGAAAGCAGTTGTTAGCAGAGCAGAGTTTGCATGAGGAAGACAGGGAGGTCTTACTAGGTAGCCTCTGTAGTATGATTGAATGAGTGTTGCTGCTCTATCTTCCTCGGATTGTCGTCCATAACCTGCCATATGAACCACTCTCGCCGCTGCCTGAGCAGCTGCCACCGCTGCCTGAGCAGCTGCAGCAGTTGCTGCCGCAACAGCAACGGCATGTCTTCGATCTTCAGTCACAGGCGTTGACGTGGTACTCTCCTCATTGGTAATATCATCAGGAGAACTCTCTGCAGGAAAAAGCTCAAACAACACAACCTCTGGTGCTTCATGTTGCCGTTTCACCTCATCTTCCTTCTACAGATCAAGCACATCCAGCCCCATACCTAATTAGCAATCATTTGGAATACTGAAGAAGAAGAAAAATGCCTAATAAACTATTTAAACTGTTACTGGTCAAGGTACAAAAATATCAGTAGACAGCGTCATTTTAGACAGAATCATGCATAAAGTGTCAACTCTCAGCTTTTTTAGTTGATTTTTTTTCTTTTTCTATTATTGCTATAACAGCTTTCAGGATAAATATGAAATAATATTCTAGCAAAAACTTTAACAAATGAGTTCAATGACGATGGGGATCTAACATAGAGAGCACGTGAACATGATCGCTATAAAAGGGAAGATGGGCTTGGTTAGGTGGAATTATCAATATGTGACATGGATATTTGATATATTCACATGACAGAACGGGGGACCATGTCTAAATAATAATTAAACCGTAGGGGTTCATGGTCCTGAGCATCCTCAGAAATGGCCTGGCAGGTCGTACTTTATTTGGCAGTGCATAAAAAATCAAGAACAGCATCCAGGATGTTGTTCACTTGCCGTAGCCCTAATTGTGAAGGAGGACAAGGGACAAGTCTTCAATATGTAAGGTAGGATTTTTATGATACCTATTAACTTTGCATTATATGCTCCAGATATGCAATTTTCATTTTGCTCAAGTTGGTTGGATTGGGTTGCTAATTCGAGGAAGCGAGAAAATGACTTATTCAGCAAACATACAGAACTCCGGTTAAGTGACCCGCCAATTTCTTTTACACACACACACACACAATAAAATATAATAATTAAATTATATTAAATTATTAAAACACATCTATTTAATTAGTAATTAACGCGTTGCATTCATCTTTAATAAAATTAATCTTGACTCATTCAGAAACCAGAACTTCTACAAGACACTCTACCCAAAATGACACATGAAAGTTTTAGCAATAGGAGACTTTTAATGTTAATCGGTGATTCATGTGTAGACTTATCATAGAATAAATTAAGATAACGGAGCCATTGTCTGGCCCAAAGAGCAACAACAACGTAGCCCTTGATCTCTGAAGTTCTGCCAGTATTTTTAGCTCTAGAAATTTCTCTCATTCCTGTGAACTCGATGTTGTATCTATACATACTATGACTGTTTTCAGAAGAAACTGAACAAATTAATGAACGAAGGTGAAAATGGAATAGCATAATCATGAGATTGCAATTTCGGAACTTCGATTTCAGAATAAAAATAAAAAGAACAGCAAAAAAGACAAGAACAGAGAAACCGATCACCTTCCTCTCCGGCACCGGCGAGTCCTTAGGAGAAGACTTGAAAACTTTCTTCACCGACGAGAACCAACCGCCTCCACCCTTCTTCCCCATCTAAGACGGAAAGATCTGCCTCTAATTGCCATCAGCATACCAATTCAGCCATGTCAAAACATCAAATCCAATTCTCAGTCTCAACAATAACCCGAAAAACCTTAATAAAAACACACATTTCAACAAGTATAACCAAAGGACAAGCATACATGCACTCAAATTCAGACCCACTCAGAATCTCGTGAAGAACAAGAGAGAAGGTATGAAATAAACCAGGAATGCGGAAAACTGGTGTTTGGATCACTTGGCCAGAGCTTTCAAAAATTGCGTCGAGCATCTGCCAGACTCATATATCATATATGTACATTTGGAATAATCTTCAGAGGAGGAGAGAAATCAACTAGCGATCCAAAATGCAGGGGGAGAAGTGATAGAGAAGAAAGTGGTGAGGAAGATGGAAAAGGGAGTGAGATCAGTAACTGTAAAGCCCGCGCAAACGCCGTTTGGATTTATCTCAGTCACGGGGGATTAGATAGACAACGAACAGAGCCTTGACAGTTGGAGGAAGGAGCCCACAGAATTCTTACACGTCAACGCCCCCTTCCGTGTAGTATCCATGGTTGCCATTAATTACTTAATTTTATATCTTATATAATATTAATTAATAATCAATATGTATAATATCTCGCCCACGCTTAGTATAATATAAAGGGCGAAAGTCCATTTTATTCCTATTTTTTTTAGAGGAATACTAGCTATTTCACATTAATAAGTGGGACATTTTTTCTTTTAAAATTTCTATTAGTGATTCATTAAATCTATCATTTTTTGCTAATGTAGTATGTTTTTTTGGTGTTAATTTGCCTTTGAATTAATTTTCTTAAAACACTGAGCATCCTAAAATTTCTTTTCTTCAAGGAACATTGAATACCCGATATTAATAGGTGAAACTTTTTCTTAAATTATTTTTTAGATGAGTAAAAATCTCCCTCTTCTAAAAAATAATTTAGGAGGAAAAATGCCCAATTTATTAATACAAATATCCAGCACTTCTCGAAATAAAGTACAAGAAAAAAGGCACTTTAACGCTAATATAAAATTTAAGAAAAATTACATTTAAGTCCTGTGAAATAGGCTTATTTACAAAGTAAAGTCATGAAATTCAAAAACTATAACCAAATCTCTTAAAATATGAGTATAATTTAAAATTAAAGTGTGAAGATTATAATATCCCTATTAAAAAATATATCAATTAAATAATAAATTGTAAAAATTACGATTAAAAACTTATAGTTGTAATTTCACAATTTGTGAGTAAATTTTTTTAGTTCACAAGTCAAATTTTGTGTTCATTATAAGAACTCTCAATTATTTACTATTTACTTGCAAATATAACTTCACATGTTACAAGTAGCAATTGTTAAATCAAATTGTTTATCATTTATTAATAACTAGAACTTCACAATTAAAATATAAAAATAAATAAATCACAAATCAAATTTTATCTTTCATCAACACCATAATAAAAGACTCTCAACTCTTCAAGTGCTAGTGCCTTCACTGTTGCTCTTCCTTTTGCCCTCCTATATTCATATTGCATACTCTCATCCTAATTTTTCATCACCACCTTTCTAATATGAAAAATAACAACATACTCATTTGAATAATATTATCTTAACATCTCAATTTTAAAATACATTTAAGTTCAGAGGGATTTGATTTTGATTTTTAAATTTTACAAGACTTATTTATAAATAAGCTTACGTAATAGGACCTGTATATAATTTTCTCTAAAATATATTTCCTCCAAGTCCAAACTATAAACATTTTCCCTACTCTTCTTGGTTCAAAATATAAACTTAGTATTTGACAAAAAAAAATTCCATTTTATTGCTTATATTTATTAATTTAAATTCTCATTGGATTCCTGTCTGTAAATTCATGACCTTTTTCTCATTCATCATAAATCATAACCAAGGGTAAAAAAGAAAAAAATGATATATATTTTTATGGGAATAAAAATTTTATTAGTATATGAATTATTATTAAAAAATATTTATATTTTGGATATGAGGCGGTATATCTCTATATGAAACAATATTTAAATGTCATTTGAAATATGGTTTATCTTAAACTGTATAACGCACAAAACTCATTATGTAATTAATAATAAATATGTTTACAAAATGCTGACAAAAATTTGAGGCGATATATAGTGGAATGTAAAGTTGCAGCCGTAAGAATATAGATTTTATCATACTTAATAGAAAGACATGATTAGCGACTCAAGGGTGTTTAATTTAACTAGTTAAAGAAATTGAATCAGCTTATTTTAAGGTTTCAAGTTCAAGTCTTAAAATATACAATTATATTAAATAAATACATTAAAAACATCCTTAAAACACACATGAGAATGTCATTAGTAATAACAGTCTCTGTGAGTTTGGATTAGTTGGAGTAGAAGATGGCCCTTGGTTTTTCAAGATACAAAACCATGGAATAAAAAAAAAATCTTCAACTACTTATTTAATTAACAAAAATTCTTACCCATGTTAGCATGTTTTAGTTAAAAAAGAAAAAAAATTTATACCTAACTTTATATACTTAAAGTACTTGTTTTCAATTAAATTAAGACAAATATATCTTTTATATAATATTTAATGTATAAAATTTTTTATTATTAACATATTAAAATTAACATATTTTAATTTAATTAAATAAAAATATATTAAATATATAAAGTTAAGTATATAAATATGTGAGATACGTACATACACATGTATAATTATACGTACATACACATATATAATTAGTCAAAACTAGCATTATTTGTAAGTGAAGGATAACCTGTTTTGGAGTGTGTGCAAATCAATGGGGTCTCTCTAAATATTTTCAATAACTCCGTGAAATATCGAGCGAGGATATCTAGTTTTTCTTGAATATGTTATTTATTTAAAGAAAAGTAAAATATCCCCAACACTACAGTTTATTTCAGTAACCCCAAACGATATTTACTCAGACAAATTTAACGTATTATTTTTCCTCTTTATAATTTTCTTAAAAACTAAATTGAGGGGCGATGAATATGAATTGATGACGGTGACTCTGTGGAAAAGACTTGGTTTGGGCGTGAAGTAATGGAGTTATGGAGGTGTCGGCGAATAGAAGGAGCAAATGTCCCATTCAGTGTTAAGTTTTGACTTGAAGATTACTAAAACAGGAAAAAGTTGCGGCTATGGTTAGACAATTCACATCACTAATGAATTATATGTTTCTTGATTCCCCAGTCATCATGTGATAATGAGATTTTGTATATTTAATTTTATAAATTTGTTAACCCTTCATAATTCTGTTCGTTAGCCTGAAAATGATAAGAGAAAGAATTAATTAGCAGTGATTTTGGTATTTGGCACTACTTGGATGTGACCTTAAAGTGTGAATTTGAATTTCACTGGCATATTCCGTCCTAGGGGTTAGCTCGTGATGATTTGATCTTCAACTTAATTAGGATTGAGCTCGAATGCTGATATTTTTTTATTTTAAAAAAGTTGAATTTCACGGGATTCTCACGGGCATGACACTTTCAATTCAACTTCTACTAGAACGGAATATTTTTTATTTTTATAAATATATTGTACAATATTTTATATATACAATTATTAAATAGTAAATTTTGTATAATATAGTATATAATTGGGATATTAAAATTTGCCACTTGTTACAAACAAGCATTATCCATAATAGAATGGGTCATATAGCTGTTTAAATATGAGGTCTCAAGTTTGAGTATGTGAGAATGTATAAAATATCTTTGGAAAAATTATCCTCAATTGGACCTAATAAAGCTTAAATTTAACCCAATTAGATAACTATACCAAAAAAAGAACTTGTCAATTGTGATTTACTATTATCTAATTTATTCACAATATAGCATGTATAAACACTTTGAAATGTATCTCTTAACTTCTATGGTTATTTTATCCTTTTAAATTAAAGTCTAAGATTAAATACAGCGTACCTACTTAATATAAGTAGTGATGTGGATAATATGGGTATTCAAGAGTGAATTGTTTTAAGGTAAAGCTAGTAATTCGAGAGGGCCAGACTTATTTGAGTTGGGCTCAATTCAAGTTGGGCTTAACTTTTTTAATTAGATTCGGATTGGCTTGTCGGGTTTGGCCAAAATTACCAACTCTATATACATATAGAGTTGAAAATTTCATCAATCGAACTCAATTCAAGTCAGGCTTATTTGAATCAGGCTTGAGATATACTATCCTTTTAAAAAAGCTAATACAGCAGACCCTGACCTTAACTTTTTTTGAGCTAATTCGAGTTCGCTCATCGAGCTTGGCTTGAATTACTAGCTCTCAAGAGTAAAGCCAAAAAATTTTATCAAGGGGGACCAAGATGACAAAGCATATATGATAATTGAAAGAAATTTAAATCTATATATATATATATATATATCACTAATATAGCATAAATATTTCAATGTATATATTTATATTCGATTTTACATATATATATATATAACAAAAATGAATATATACCTTCATTTTTTAAGTTCCGCTTATCAATTTTTCATAACATAAGAATAATTAATTAATATATCTATGATAAATTTTTTAGCAATTTTTCTCTCAATATAAACTATCATTAAATTGATGAAGATTTCATCTTTCCCATGAGCATGAAATAATTTAAGAAAAATCCCTTTAAGGTCCCATGGAAACATTTAAAATACGTTGAAGTTTCATGAATTCATCAAATAGCTGTCAGATTTCTAGGGACTTAAGGGTAAATAAGTTTGAAAATAAAATTATTAATTTGCCTGCTACCCTTAAAAAGGAAATTTCGCTTGAATACATATATCATGAAACCCATGATCAGCGATATTTATGATTGTTGATCACAGTAGTGTAATTTTTACTTCCTCATATCCATGATTACCACCATTGTCTTCATCTAAGTGAGGTGGGAGTGTTTCATCCGTAACTGTAGGATTTCATTAACAAAAAATAATACAGTGATTGTTGAGCAGGTAAATGATTTCTTGTGCGTTAATTATTTCATTATTGTTTAAGGGTATGATAATACTTTCTGGGTATATCTGTGATCATTTGATTTGTATGGCTAATAGGTATGGAATAGTCCGGTGCAATATTGACATGTTAAAAAATATTTGATACGAATAACTCTACATGTTGTTAATAGTGTATTCTTGTGTTGTCAATATATTATGAATAGTTGTCAATACACTGTATTATGGAGGCTGACTTGTAAAAATGCAAATACTACTAGAAAACATGTATTATGTTATTTTTTTTCATATAGGGAAACATTTTATATATTATTCCCAAGCATATAATGCAAGTTTATTTTGTTAAAAAATTTCTGTTATAAAACAATACTGTGTCTCGTCAATAGTAAATGAGTGTGTTGTCATTATGTTGTGTGTAATTATCAATATGTTGTATGTGG